ATTAAATTTTATTGGTGGCTTACAATGATGGTAACCAGATGGATTTCTTTTTTTGGGTAAATTTACTGTTTTTGGTGCATTTTAGAACACAAATGGATTGTCATTCTTTCTAAAAGTTCTATCTTAAGTACAGATTTGTATTCTAAGCAATATTTCAATAAGTCAATAATCAAAATAGAGAACTATTTAAGTGAATTTTAGTCAGAAGCTTTCCCTCTACTGAGCACTATGTTGGACATTATAGAGTGTGGGAATTTAGCCTGTTCACTACTTGTGAAGATCTGTCAGTCTAGTAGGGGATATAAGGGAGGCCTCTTGTGCAAGTGAGTATTTTTAATAATCTCCTTTTTCCCTTTGTCTTTCTAACCCCCAGAGTTATCTTCTTACCGTGTTCTGTTTTCAACCTTAGCAATGACACCCTGTTAATCTTACCTCTTTGCTGTTGGGTCTTTTTCCATTCCTATTCTGTACTTCTGCTTTGTAGGACACCATCTCTATCCACCCCATACCACCATGCAGGCTTGGGGTTGGGATGAATCTTTGCAGAGAAATAACAGCTGATAAAATAAGTGAGCTAGCTCACATACAGAGCTTATCAAGGTACCTGGTACACAGCAAGTACTCAATTAATGGCTGTTCCTGCCAATACCACCACTGTTAGTATAAGGGGGAAATGTGAGAAACTGAATTTGGAACAATTTCAGCATGGCAGAAGTGAGAGACCAGTAACAGCCTTGATTCTCTAGCTTCTCACTAGCCCTATCCTTGTCCTTTTTTTTTTGAAAACTGATCAGAAAAAAAGATTATTGCTGTTGATTTTGTTCTTTCCTCTTGGTAAGTTGACTATTTAGTTTTATTTCCTGTTGAAAACTTACCTAGTAATTTCGAAGCAACTTGCCCAGTTTATCCTTATACAATATTTTTTTTTTTTGGTGAGATTTTTAATTAAGAGTGATTCTTTACTTCACTTATTAACTTAATCCTAAAAATGTATGTTTTCTTTAGATTTGTTCTATCACTGTATAAAATTTTGATTGAATTAATTAAACATCTAAAACTAGGTAACTACCAAATAGGAATAAGAATAGTATTTACTTATTGGTCTCCTGCAAAGGACAAATACTTCCTTTACTCTCCATTGCCCCTTTGTATGCTGGGATTCAGCCTGGAGCAAACATCTACAGAGTAATTGTGTGCCCTAAAACAATGGCAACAATGGTAATGTTGACACAGCCACAACTATAGGTCTGGGAGCAGGATGGCCACAGTTAAGAGTAAAGTCCTGAAATGTTTTCATTGTTTAATTCTGGGAAATAGCATCCCTCTGGATTTCTTTTAATATTTTTTAAAATTTATTTATTTTTACCAGCTGGAGTTCCCTAGCTATGTGCTCTTATGCTAGCCAGCTTTCCCCACATTTGACAAAAATAAAACAAATCTGTAAAAGTAAGTAGGGGCAGCACTTATATGTACATCAGAAATCCTTGAGCTCCTCCTTTGTGTGAGGTCTACTTCCTTATGCCTGTGGCCTTTCCCCAAACTGCTATTAATGTTTCTCTATCCACCACTGACAACAGATTCATAAATGACCATATTCTTGTAAAATTGTCACTGAAAACATCATGTTCCCATTTTGAGTTCCACTTTTTAAAAAAAATGCCTTGATGCTGTTGATTTTGAAAGTTAAAAAGTAATCTCGATCTTTAATAGGGGAGATCCCCACTAAGCAAATGTGTGGCATCCTGTGTCCCCATCACACACACCCCTACCCTCCACCCAGGTGACCATGTTAAATGATGACCCCATTCTAACCAGGGAAAATCATATAAGCAAAGAATCTTCTGTTAGCATCTTATTTGCTGTGGTATTAGATTAACTGAAATAATGCTGACCTGTTTTACTTCAATTTCTTAGTAATTTTATAAGAAATAA